CTTGAGAAGACGTATGATAGCGTTCCCCGCGATACAATCTGGAAGACCTTGGAAACGAGACGGATCCCAACTGCTTATATCCGGGCGATTCATTATATGTATTGTAGATCTACTACATACGTCAGAACTACAGTTGGAGACACCAAGGCATTCCCGGTGGAAATCGGACTCCACCAGGGGTTGGCTCTTAGCTCTTACATCTTCGCCTTGATTATGGACGACATCTATTGTGCGACACCGGACGATGTTTCATGGTGTATGCTTTTCGCTGACGACATTGTCCTAGTTGCTGAAACAAGAACTGAGCTAAATAGTAGACTGACTACGTGGAAGACTGCTTTGGAAGAAAAAGGTTTAAGGATCAATATTGCAAAGGCAGAGTATTTATGTTCAAACTTCAATGGGAACCAAAATGATGAAGATGTAGAGGTATGCATAGAAGGAAACGTTTTCCCCTCAAAGGATTGTTTCAAGTACCTAGGGTCTATGATACATAAAGATGGGGGTGTGGATGATGACGTTACACACCGTATAAAGGCGGGATGGCTAAAGTGGAGGGCTTCTACCGGAGTTTTGTGTGACAAGAAAGTGCCTCTGAAACTTAAGGGAAAATTTTATAGAATGACAATAAGACCAGCGATGTTGTATGGATCTGAATGTTAGGCAATCAAGAAGGATCACGTAAGGAGGATGGAGGCCGCAGAAATGAGAATGCTTCGATGGGCATGTGGTAGGACTCTGTGGGACATGACACCAAACTCTACTATTAGGATGTCCTTGGGGGTGGTGCATGTATCCGAAAAATTGAGGGATGGAAGACTACGGTGGTTTGGGCATGTCCTTAGGCGATAACCGTCGGATGTGGTCAGGAGGGTATAGTCGATTACAGTCAACGGTGCTAGAAGGAGAGGACGACCAAGACAGAAGTGGGAAGACAACTTGAGATCTGATTTGAAGGATTTAGCCCTTACCGAGGACATGACCTCTGATAAGAAAGTATGGAGACTTAAGACCAGGGTAGCCGAGTAATGCGGGTTACATCCATAGGGGGTATCACCTCTGTCTTCTTTTAATGCCTTTGTAGAAATTTCAATGACTTATACTTTTTATACGTTTTTGTCATTGAAATTTTTGAAGGTTTAGAACTAGGGTACGGAGAAATGTTACCTTAGTTTAGGTTTTAACCCATTTGACTTTATTCCTTCTCGTTGCTTGCCATCGTTGACTTCTGTGTATCCTTCTCTTCAAGTTTTCTCTTTTTAATTTTAGTCAGGTCTTACGTTTATGTCTATATGCAGAGCCTTTTTACGCAGGGATTTATTTGCAGGGATTATTTGCAAGGATTACTTCCCATTACAGACGCGCATATGTAGACTGCATATGAAGGTTGTTTCAACTATGTATTTATTTATTTATTTATACATGCATTGCATTGCATTTTACATTTATTTATAATTTTCTGACTGTCAGAGGTCTTCCACGGAAGCTTCTCTCAACCTGGCATTGGGGGCAGCCTACTACTACCCTACCTCCCCTTACCCCATTGCATATGGGAATAGGGTTTTGTTGTTGTTGTTGTTGTTTTACTATGTTATTTTCATGAGATATCGTTATTTAATTTGACTTTTTAAAATTAGCAAGCAAAATGTTGTTATTATTATTGTTGTTGTTGTCGTTTGCTATTTTGCATGCTCACTTTTGTCGACTCTAGTGAAATTAGGAGAACTAATCTAGAACTGCTTGCGGGACAAAACATCCCAAAGAAGAGCTCTGTTTTATATGCGCGGAATTTTGCAGTTCAATTCTGTTGTATCTGAAATTTTTGGCTTATTTAGGTTTCTACTTTCTTCGATACGTTGTGATAGCAAGGTTTTAGGTGGATTTAACAATTTTAAGGCAGTAATTAAGCTCTACCATATTATAGTTATGCATGCATTTATATATCGTTTTTCTGTCTCAAACAATTTAGTGCTAATTCAAATTATCAAATACTTCTGGTCAATCCAATTAGATCAAACTTTTTCTATTATATGCCTGTGTAATTATTACTCGAATCATTTTGAATCATACATACTTGATTCTGAAGGAAAAAGGTTGTAGCATTCCAGCTCGGTAATATAGTTTTCCAAGTTTACTCTTGTTCTTTTTATGAACATTTATTCTTTATGTGGGTTATGCAGCCAAGAGGAGTATATATAGTTGGGGATTTCATGACAAGAAAAGAGAATTTGCAGGTGGTAAAGCCTACAACAACTGTTGATGAAGGTTTTTGTCATTTAAACTTTATATCTTTCATTGTTTATCATGTGGTGTATCTTCTATTGTAAAAAAATAGAAATCTAATATGTTGATCTTTTGCCAACATCAACAGCACTGCAAACTCTTGTAGAATAAAGAATTTCAGGTTTTCCTGTTGTTGATGATGATTGGAAATTGGTATGTTATCTAACCTTGTTTGTTGGTCATGAGATTTTAACTATTATTAGCTCTAATAATTTATTTTCTCTTGCTAATTTTCAATACCAAATGACTGAATTATTCAGACTATCATGATATCTTGACATTTCCAGATAAGTGGAGTTGTTGAGTATGCAACATTCCACTAGGCCCACAGCCCAAAAGTGAGTGTTAGATTCCAGTCCTTCCTTTCTCAATCCTTAAAACCTTTTGGTGAGCATATACTGGAGAAGGAAAGATGGCTCTGCTCATGTGATGACTTTTTTTTTTCTTGTTTGCGTCTCCTTTATATCAACTCATTATTGCGTCCACATTCCAATGTCACAATGTCTCAAACGTTTTCATTTATATACCTTCTTTTTTCCAAAGTTTTCATCATGCAGTCATTTGCTACAATTTCGTATCTGTCTTTTCGGTTTGCAAATCTGCTTTATCTTTTTGACCTGATAAATTTTAACTACACTTTTTGGAATAATTGGACCATGTTATCTTACTTCTGCAGGTTGGACTTGTTTCTGATTATGACTTGCTAGCATTGGACTCCATATCTGGTATTTTGAACTTACCTAATGAATTCCACTTTTAGTTGTTCTCTTACATTTTTATTACTTTGTATATTACCGACTATTTGTCTATCCAACATAATTCCACAACTATATGTGAAGCAGACAATTTTTTATCTGATATGGGAAAAAACTGTAGTATAAGTTTTTATTACTTCCATTTTCTCGTGGTTTTAGGACTTCTTTTGTTGATAGTATAACGTGGTCCAGTCTCGTTAGTCCAAAATGCAAGTTTTTTTATATGGCGGTTTTCCACCGGAATGTATTCACTTCTTTATTCTTGCCGGACTAAAGTAGTAGGCATCGACTGTTATTATAACCAATATCTTTAATATGATTAACTGTACTCTGGCCCTTCATGGGAATGTGTCTTGGATTTGGGGCATGCTTATATATTGATAATCGTTTCTTACATCATTCCAATTGTTCTCTGAACCAGGGCTGTGACTGATAATAACTTATTTCCAGAAGTTGATAGCTCTTGGAAGGTATATGAAAACTCTCTCTCTTCAAGAAATAGATGCAATCTTTTCAGCAGAAGCCAATATCTTTCTAAATAGTTTTGTTTTATTCATTTTCAAAACTTCCTTCTTCCATTGCATGGTTATAAACGTAGATAAATAATAACATCTTGAATCTTGGAATCAAGTCCATTATTTTTCTTTCCCTTAAATAAAACTGTGATATAACGGCTTTTATATGTTTTGAGAAGCATATTCCCATAACCAGATCCATCCTTTTAAAAATTGAGTTAAAGTATATTCCTGAAAAATGCTGTAAAATAAATAGTCGTCGAAAAAAATTACCTGTCCTGCGTCGGTTAGTGGTTTAAACGGGAGATATACTAGACCATCTTGGGGTTACATTGGCTGGTTCAGGCTGCGTAACTTCATTGTGCCTATTTTAGTTCACTGCAACTGGCTCCAGCAAAAATTCATTTGTATTAATCCTTTACTTTCCTATATGGCCTACTAAATGGTCCTCAATTTTGCAGACATTCAACGAGGTACAGAAGTTGCTCAATAAAACCGATGGGCAGGTGGTGGGTGGTTTAATGACACCGGCTCCGTTAGTTGTACGCGAGACGACTAACCTTGAGGACGCTGCTAGGTAAATTTGACTTACCTTTTCCTTCCGCACATATTGGTCTTGAAACAAAAGCTCCACCGCTTCCCTGTTATATATGCTTTGCTTTTTACATAGGAAAGCATTTAGAAGCTATGACAGTCCTATATGCTATATGATCCTACCATTCGAACCGAACTCAACTGCTCACAATCACTTATATTTTACTATAATTCATTCGCTTTCCAGGATGCCCTTTTTTCTTCTAATTTTTGTGTGTGTCCCACGTCCAGCGGGGAGAGGCAGGTAATACCTAACTCTTTAAAATCTTATCATTAAAGTAGTTATAACGTTAGTGGTTAGTATGGCCAGTGCGCACCCAACGCCTGAATGTGTAGGCCACTGCATTTTTTCACCTTTCTATCAACTCCACTCCTTTGTCGACATCTCATGCAATCAGAAACAAATATATAAATTCATCAAAACTAATAAAACACCAGTATTAGCATATCATGATTTAGACACAATTTTTTTCACTTTCATTTGTCTATTAGACAGATGGAATTAATTTTAGATTAAATCAATTCAACTAATATTTTATAAATTATGGTATGTGATTTATTCTTTTTAGTAATATCATTTTCAAGGTTAAAAATTATCAAATTAAGAACTAAAAAGTAAGTTTATAATTTTATTGTTGGATCGGTTTATTTTTTTAAATTTTTTTGTGTGATCGAATTTAGAACAAATAAATTAAGTTTTCAAATGAATAAATTATCAAATTAAAATTTAAAAAATTATTTTCCAACAAAAACGCAAAGGCAGAGAAGGCATATAGAAAGTAGAAATCACCCCTCCCCCCTTTGTTTTTCCCCCACCGTTCAAAAGATTTTGGCCGGCATCAAATCCCACCAATGAAATAAAAAAGAGGTGATTTTCCATTAAAAAAATAATAATTAATACAAAAGTCTTCTTCATTCTTTCAAAGTCAGTAGACTTACCTCCACTACACTGTGCACGATAGGGATTGCACTCGGTGCAGTTCAGCAATCACCCCCTTTCAACCTCCCTTTCTCTTTCGGGACAGCCGCCAAAGGCGACGGACCAAAAATTACAACTTTGTAATAATAAAAGATGGAGGATCATGATTCCATCAACTTCCGTTCCCCCATCCCCCTTGCTATTTCCTTTCCCATTCAACATCCAAATCTTCCGGGTCGGGCATCTTGTTCAAGTCAATCCGATGTAAAAACCCGCCAGTAGTTGGCTTAAACTCGTCGTCATAACCGTGACTATAATTACGAAGTTGGTGGTGGTGGTGATGGTGAGCTGCCTCAAGAGCATCAACTCTAGCACCAACTTCGATAGCCTTTTTCCTTATAGAAGCAGCCGACAAATCGCCTCCGCCGCCGCAGAATTTTTCACCCGCCAAAAGGTCGGGAAAATTCAACCTAGCCGAGGGTCCACGCAAGTAAAAAACCGCCGTGTCATAAGCTCGAGCCGCCGCGACAGGCGTCGAATAAGACCCCAACCAAATCCTGGACCGCTTGTTCGGTTCCCTAATCTCGGCCACCCATTTCCCCCACTTCCTCATCCTTATCCCTTTGTACGGCCTCTCCATCGTAGACTTCCTCGAGGCAACAACGGCAGTTCCCCTCTCCATAGCTCCAAAGTATTCGATAAATCCCAAGTTTCTCAGCTTTGGGTTTTATCAGAAAAGAAGAAGAAGACCGAAACTACGAAGCAGAAGAAGAAGAATTGAAAACAACCCGTTTCATGCGTTGAAATGTAATGTTTTTCCGACACGACAGAGCATATATGTTGGAACAGAACACAGGGAGAAAAAGGAAGAAATACTAATAAAACAGAAATTCCAAATTGACCGACACAAATCTATGTGAGGGACTTGTTTATATATTTTCCTAATGTTATTATTTGGGGGTGGGGGTATAAAGAAAACAGGGGCGAGGTGCTTTAAACTTAGTTGTCGTAAATAAATAAATACAATTAGTGAGGTTGAACAGGTGTCATTAGGTGTTTGTTTAGCTAAGAGTTTCACATCACAAAAACAATTTAATCATTGATTAAATAATAAAAATTTAGATTAATCATGTGAACAATTATGTAATTAGGAAGGCGGTGATGGAGGGATTTGGCGATTGTCGTTTTGTGGCCAAGTTAATGAACTTCAATGGTTTTGAAAACGAAATTACTTTTTAGCTTTCTTAATACATTGGTTAATGTATTATTCGATACCTAAATTTCATTTTTTAGTTTAAATTGATATTTATATTTTTTAAAAGTATATATATATTTTCTGTTTTAATTTATTTTTCATTATCTATTTGATATTCATCCTGATATAGCATATGTAATTGAAGTTAAATTTGGATATTATTTTTATAAAAATCCAAATAATAATTTAAATTGAAGATCAATTGATATATTAATATAAAACAATTAAACTCGGTTTTCATGATGATGATGTTACCTTTGTTTGATTTGCCGATATTTTTGTTAATTTATTTATTAATGTTGAATTGGTGACTAGGCAAGCAATTGGTAAAGGGATAGGGTAGGTCGGTGTTCGGTCGGTGGATAGATACCGTTGCGAATTGACTTTCCCTCTACGCAATAACATTGTAAGGGAGATTTGAAATTTAATTCCATCGAGGGAAAGTAAATTTCATGTAAATTTCATCCATAACATGATGAAATTGAAATATTTTGTAGGGAGAAATGTAAAATTTGATCATACTACTTTTATTAATTTTTGGATATTAGGGTCAGATTTTTTTAAAAAAATTTGGGGTCGGGTCGGGTTTTTTTAAGTTTGCTATTCGGGTCTGGTCGGGTTTTTTTAAATGTGATATTAGGGTCAGGTCGGGTTTCTTTAAAAATTCGGGATCGGGTCGGATTTTTTTTTTAAAAATCGAGGTTGGGTCGGGTTTTTTGAGGTGTGATGTTCGGGTAGGGTTTTTTTAAGTATGATATTCGGGTCGGGTCAGGTTTTTTTAAGTGTGATATTCGGGTCGGTTCGGGTTTGGGGTGAAAAAATATCCGACCTGAAAAAATTATATAATTTTCCCTTATATATTTAGAAATAATTACAATAATACCCCTCTATATATAATTGTTTTCAATTAAGTCACTGTTTTTATTGAATAAAAATAATTTTTTTATTATTTCAGGTCGGGTCAGGTTTCTAATTCATATATTCGGGTCGGGTCGGGTGAAACTTTATTTTGGTCAAGTCGGGTAGGGTCTCGGGTGGAGGTTCCCTTGTTCTCGGGTCGGGTCGGGTGGACCAAAAATCCAACCTAACTCGACCCACGATCATCCCTAATTGGGATGTTTTTAACTTATAATATTTATTAGTATGATTTTTATAATTTATTGAAATGAATAATCAAACAATAAAATGAAATTTTAATATTTTTTAAATTTTTATAATATATTGGTACATGTAAGTTACTAAACAAACTAAAATTAAGTAAAAAAAAATAAGAAGGACAATTCTGTTATTTTACATTACTAAAATCAAATTCATCTTACATATCTGATAATCAAACAAAATCTGAAATTGGATTCTAATTTCTGCCAACCAAACATATTTCAGATTCAAATTCTAATTCCTTCAGATTTTATTTTCTTTACGGATTTCAATTCTTTTATAAACATTCTAGCCAACCTATGAGTACGCATTTGGTAAAGGGATGGGGGATTTGAGCCGACGTGAAAGGCAGACATATTCTAATTTTACAATTACCGATGACCAAAATTGCAGGAAGCAATAACCTCCATAACTGTGAAATTGATTTTTATTTTCTGCCGGTTCAAGATTTCAGTTTTCTTAACTGGGCCGACAATTCAAGATTAAACCAATTTATTTCTGTACACCGCTGCTATGTGGTAATCTCCATTAAAATTCTTGTCAAAGTGTTGTTGTCTTCATCAATTGAGCATTGTCTTTGATCCATGATACAGATCTGAAAAGCAGCACAAAATCTATGGACTTAACTGACAAGACGTTTTAATCAAATATTTGGCTTAAAACCTTAGTTTAAAAGGGAAATTAAGGAAGTATTTAAGAGTCATCAAACCTTCAAAAATTATTTATATATACAAAGAACAAGGCCACAAGGAAATATGTTAAGGCGAATAACATAGAAGCTGCAAGGTTTATCACGTTTGAATGTTCAGTATGCTAAGTTGAATAAGGAACCAAAAACAGAAGCAATTTCAGAGATGCGATATTATTACAAGTTAAAAATCAATAGTACCACAAAGCTGTTGCCCTTTAAGTAACAATAACAATCAACAATGCCGCAAATCAAACCTAAAACAGTAACACAAGGCTGCTTGAAGTGTCATGCTACTTATCAAAATTGCAGATGCCTTAAAACCAGACAGCGAGTAACTTAAAAGACGATAAAACCAACTTTTAATTATCAACAGGGAATGAAGAATCACAAGAAGAAGAATTATTGTTATAATATGCCCGCTAATATGAAAAGAAATCTACTACATTAACATGGAGTAATGAAATGAATGAGACAAAACTTGAACAAGCACCTCACCCGAGGTTAATTACCAAAACGAATGACAAACTTTCTAAATGGACTCGTGGTAAAAATGCAAATGAGGTTTATATGTGCTTGTCGCTAATGCAATTAAGGGATAGAAGGAGACCTAGAGCATTAGGAAACTCCAGAAACAATAAAGGGGGCAGTATTTAATAGACCACTAGAACAGGTCTTTTGGCTTGCAGCTAATCAGCCGTACAATGCCAAATAACTTATCTATAATCAATTAAATGAAGTAATAACGCTAAGTTGCGATAATTAGGGATGGTAACGAGCCGGGTTCGAGTCGGGTATTGGTCCCCATTTTCGTTTCCGTTTAAAAAATTCATACCCGTTCCCGCTTAAAAAACCACGGGGATTTAAACGGGGATCCCCATCGGGTAATCGGGGAAAACCGCGAGGAAACGGGTATCCCGTTTAGCATAAACGGTTATTTAAACGGGTATCGGGTTGGGTATCGGGCCGGGTATATATATATATTTAAATTAAATATATAAATATATATATATATATATATTTAATTTAATTTAAATTTATTAATATTATATATATATATATATAATAATTTTTTTAAATATTTATGGGGCGGGTATCGAACCGGGTAATCAGATTATCGGGGCATAGATTATTAAACCCGTCCCCGTCCCCGTTTAACATAAACGATTTTTCCCCGTCCCCGTCCCCATTTAGCATAAACGGTTTTTCCCCGTCCCCGTTTAATTCGATTTTCGGTTTTCTCCATCGGGTTCAGGTTTTTTTACCATCCCTAGCGATAATACAAATAGTGGCAATTAACATATTGTCCCAGCTGCACAATCCAGAGGCCTTAGCTCATAAACTGCTCATAAACTCTCGATTAAAGCAAGTAAAGTTCAACAGTACAAAAAAAACATATTGATTTTCTTTTCATTTTTTATAGGATAAATTATATAGTTAATCACTTATCTATTCTTATAATTACGATCACTCAATTATTTTCTTTTTAAGAAAAATCATACTTGAATTAACGTTTTGATCATCTGATGTGATCCTGTCTAGTACCAACTTTCTACATGACATGCTCACATCATTCAAGATCCATCAAGCTCAATCTAAGGGAGTTCTACCTTACTTTATCTTTTATTTATTTATTTATTTATGCACTATATATTATTATGAGCATACATTTACATATTATACTAAACTTGAATTATCATAACATGTGCATTCATTCAATGATTTGCATCATTGATTGATATTCATACATATAATCTATAGTTATAATAATAATATTCATTCATTATCATATGATGCATGAGTTATTATTATAATCTATAGTTCACATCTTTATATGTTTATACTTAGCTTATATATGCTTTCTTTTGTAGGTGCATAGGAGGCCACATGATGGTAGCTAACTTAAAGCTAGCATTGGAGTCCGTGAGCTACGAAAACATGACTAGGACAACTCCGGGACAGCTCAAGAACATTTTGGGACAAAGTTACCAGCTGACCCCCGAGCTCATAGCTGACTTGAGCTGGACTTTTGAGCTAGCTAGAGGTCTCATTTCAGCTGGAGAGTTGCACCACCACCACCACCACACAGAGCACTTCAAATATAGTCTAGGTCAATTTTTTTGGATTTGTACCTTTTCGCAAATAGTTACCATTCTAAGAGGTGTCTTTTCACAAGGAGCAGACCAAAGACTCATCTTCATGTACTTCATTTATGGTCAGCTTATCTTCAGCTCAAACACATGTAAAGTAGCTCAAATAATAAAAGGTTACCTTCCACAAATGTGACATGTTATGGTCAGCTTATCTTCAGCTCAAACACATGTAAAGTAGCTCAAATAATGAAAGGTTATCTTCCACAAATGTGACCTGTCATAACAAGTTGCTGCCCCATTGATGACATGTCATTTAGACACATATTGGATGCCAAGCCACGCCTAACTTGCTGCTTATCTTCAAGCCATGGAGGAGCCACACCATAAGCATCCTATGCCACCCATGTGAGTGCCTCATGACCAGCCACCCATGTGCGATGCGTGTGGAACAATAAGGAGACCATTCGGCCAAGGACATATCCCTTCATTAAAACATCATGCATTTCCATTTAAAAGTCATGTATCTAGCCGAATGGACATGTAATTATTTGGCCAAACCCATGCAAGCCTATAAATAGGCTTTGGCATTCATTTGTAAACTCAACCCTTTTGATAATATAAATCTTTGTGAGATTATTTTCTCTTATAGTTCTTCTTAGAACTATATCGATTAAGCAAGCTTCTAAAGTTTGT